CCTCAACAGCGGAACGTTACTGACGGTTTTGAGAACAAGGCATCTATCATTCCAGCCACCTCAGAAGACTTACTTGAGTCTCAGTCATCCCAATAAGAAAGCTCTCAGCTCATCATTCAAGTGACAAGTGTGGGGAGATCGAACACACCCCGCATTTCTAAAATTTGTTTCCGCTCCTGCCAAAACCGCTGCGCAAGCCAAACCGCTGCTCCCACCAGAACCGCTGCGCGAGCCAAACAGCTGCTCCGCCCCAAACCACTGTGCCCACCGAAACCGCTGCGTCGCCCAAAATCGCTGCGTCGCCCAAATCGCTGCATCGCCCAAAACCGTTGCGTGAGCGGTATCCACAAAATCCACGAATGACAACGGCTGTGTGGACGGTGCAATTGAGTAGATCTGTGTCACTGTGGAGAGATTCCAGCGGAACAGGTGAGTACTGTTGAACCAACGTTGGTGGCGGCGACCGCGAGAAAAGACAGTGCGCTGCATCTAAGACACTTTTCAGCATCTGTCCATTATAATGAACGAAACACGCACCTTGCTGTTTTGAAGTATAATCAAAATGATGCGTCGTGAACCCGCCCCCGTCAATCAATGATTCCATTGTTGCGCGCGTGTCCTTGGAGAGCAGTAATTTCTTTGGTATGCTCTTTGAACGTTGAGTATTGCTGGCCCGCAGCGCATCTTCGAAGCCAGTAAGGACGTCGGCCACCATGGTTGGACACGGACACGATGAGGACGACGCCGGCGCGTCAACATTCCATGATGGTCGGAGGCAAAAGACGCGTACATGCGCATTACATTACAAATCACCGGTAATTAAAACTAGTAGCCGAAGGTAGCCAAAAATAGAAAATACGGTGTGAGTTCAATTTCCCAAGTGTGGCGTGAAACAGATGTCACTTCCATATACAAAAAGCTAAATGTGAGACTCGAACTCACGCTCTTTCGAACTAGATAGGGCAATGCCTGATTCTAGCGCCTTAACCACTCGGCCAAGTTGCCATATTTCATTTTAGGCTCAAGTTGTTCTCGGAGATATCGGAGTGTTGGACTCAAATGTCCCGAACTCCGAACCGTGCACAGCCACAGATGCGACTTCGTTTCCAGCCACGTATAACGACGCTTAGCTCCCGCCCACAATGCCCGGTCCCATTGCATGGCTTGCACAAATTCCGCCGGTCACGCGCACCTGGCTCCTCCTCTCCCTCCTCACCTCACTTGCCGTACACTCCCACCTCCTCACGCCTCTCCAACTTTACTCTCCGGCATCCCTCTCACTCTCCTCCCTCCTCACCACGCGAACAATCACCACATTTCTTTACTTTGGGACACTATCACTCGACCTGATGTTCCATCTATTCTTTTTCATGCGTTACAGCCGGATATTGGAGGACTCGTCGTTCCCAGCCCAGCCGGCAGCTTATTTGTGGCTGCTACTACAGTCTGCCGTCCTGCTCCTTTTGATGTCACTGACTCCACTGGTCAATACGCCATTTCTCTCGAGCGCGTTGGCGTTTGTGCCGATATATGTGTGGTCGAGAAGACATCCGAGCACACCTATCTCGCTGTTTGGGCTGGTGACTATTGGCGCGCCGTACTTGCCCTACGCTCTCATTGCGTTCACTGTACTGATTAATGGTGAATGGCGAGCGGCCCAGGCGGATCTGATGGGTTGCGCTGTTGGACACGTCGCATGGTTCATACGCGATGTCTGGGCAAGAGAGATGGTTGGCGGGAAATCAGTGCTCACTCATCCACCAGTGGCACTACAGAGGTTATTGGGAGATGTTTGAGTGAGTTCTTATGTTCTCCTTGTTGTCGTTAACTCATCGAGCTTAGTTCTGCCTATGTACGATATCCAAAGGTTTATCACTGCTCCGCTTTGTACCAACATCTTCTCAAAATTGCACTGTTTCGGTTGCGCAACTTAAGTACGGATGCTCTTTGGGCTCGCCATTTCCAGAAGTACTGTATGGCGAGGACGTGCTCAATTAACAGACCAGACGAAAGCGGGCCTTTTGTAACACATATCATTGAACGCTAATCTGTGTACTCTATTGCCTGTCCAATCCGCGGATGGTTACGTCTGGAGTGGACAGCTTCACGCATACGTGCAAAAAACTACTGTTATTCCCGACTATTTCTAACGAGCCGTCTGATTCTATTCAGTATAATCGATGGGTTCTTACAGAAAGCTATATCAGAGATCATAGCGAAGCAAGCTAATCTGATACGCTGTTAGTAATTGCGCCCCGCCAGATACAGAATTAGTTGCTCACTGTATTAACATTCAATGTCCTCCCAGCCCAATGACAAACCTCTGACCAGCTTGCCCATTGGAGTCAAAGTATAACCCTGCCCCCTGCGCCGCGATGCCAGAAGCTCCTGCAACAACGCCAGTGGACTGACTACGAACGGGCACATTTCCATGCCGCTACCGCGATTTTCCGGCTTCACAAACCCATCTCGCTCACGCGCGACAAGCTTGTCTTCTGCGCTTATGATACCAAGGAAAGCTGAGACTGTTTTGAAATCGGCATAAGAAGTTGGGTAAAGTTGACCGGCGAAGATGTTGAGTTGAGGAATGAACGCCTTAAACGACAGTGGTGACGAGTTCGGGACGCAATAGAACGTGAGGTCGTCAAAGACCTGCATACTCCGTGTTACGCGGGGCGAGTAAATATGGAGTCGCACGAAAGAGTTGGTACGAAGAACAGGCATCAGTTCGTTCGCCTCGAATTGGCTGATGACCACTACAACCGGTGGCGGCCCGTTTGCGCAGAGAATCCATTGCACGTCCTTCAAAAAGTGTACACTGCCTTTATCGGAGGTGTTCATCCCTTTAATGGTAACTGCGTAGTCCCGAGTGACTAAGAAGCTGGGATAGAAGAAATCGCTTGAATGATTGGAGCTGTGGGGAAGCGACGAAATCACCCGGCAGGGTGATAAGAAGACGGATGACGAGGAGGGAATGCGACCTGTTCTCGTAAACTCTTCAACATCGTCGTCGAGTCGGTGCGTTGCAGACGATACCGGTGGAGGTCTCTCGACCTGACGTTCCACCTCCATCTCATGATCAACTTCTCTCTCCTGTTCTTCATCTACGTTTTGAGGGCAGACGAAAGGACTCCGAGTTGCTGAAGGTGCGAGTAAATTTCGGGGTCATTGTGGATCATACTGTCTGTTTGAGACTCAGCTGGGGAGTCACCGTACATCTCTAGCAGTGGACGCGCTTCGGGTTGCAGCCAGGCGTCTCGCACTTGATGGATATCTTCTGGAGTCGGTGCGGCTGGTAGAGCATCCAAACAAGCTCTTCTCTGCTTGAAATCGATCCCCTGTCGCGCCCATTGAGGAGCATGATGCTCGATATCGGCACAGGCCTCAAGCATCGTCCAATGAACGATGTCAGCGACAGTAACCGAGTCTACTGCACACTTCTTCTTGATCAAGATGTCGATGTCAGGCTGAGCGAAGAAATGAAGGGATTGACCCCGGCCGAGTTGGCGCATTCGCATGCATCCTATTGATCGGACGTTAAATGCGCTTGAAGTAGGTGAGTATGTACTAACCTTGAACCAATCTGTCCTTTGTGACCTTCCTCCCGAGCGTCACTGCAGCTTTCCAATGAAGAGGGAGTTTCAAATCCGTTCCTCTCGTATGAGCATCATCCAAGTAGACAAGACAATTGGAGAGGTGCTGCCTATACGACGAAGACTTGAGCAACTCCATTGTCCCGTCGCGTCTGAGCACCATCAGCTCGTCGCTTTGATTGAAGAACACCACTGCTTCCACGTCACTTCGCTTCAACAGCCACCTTTTCGCTACGCCTAGATTACTTAAATCAAGCATTTGAGCGCCAATGTCAAGAAGCACTCGAATCTCCGGGCGTTCAATTGCCAACATGTCTACGAAGGCCGTTCCGGACAAGCTCTTCCCTGAATCGCTGTCGCGAGTACAAGTGTATGAGGAATTCTCCGATTGAAGAAGATAGGTAAGAACCATGGCGTTCGTTCCAGCCTGATTGACGGGATCGACCTGCAAGATGGAGCTGGGGAGGAGATACTCATTGTCCTTCGTCCCGCTGAATCCCGTCGTGACGTGAGGCTTCCTTTCGCCAAGATCCCAAGCAGAAGTGGGAAGCTTGTTCGGGAACTGCTTCGCGGCCTTTGGGAAGACAACCTCGGAAAGATAGAAGTCGATGACTGCATGACAGTAACGGAAAAGCGCCACGATCCTGGCGTGTTGCTCAGCGTCATTGAGATTTATAGCACCCACTTCGTTGAGACCTTCACGTTCGCTAGGAGGGATGGCAGCAATCCACGTCTCGTACAAGACCGATCGATTGCTGTCCAGAAAGAGCTGGTGCAAACAAGCATCAACCTCAGTGGTCGTCAATCCAGTATAATAGTAAGCCAGACAGGTCAAGATGATGGCGATGTCTGGATGACCAAATTCGGCACGAGGAGACGGGACGTCTTTGGCTCGATATGGGACGGCTAGGAGCGTGCGTGACGGATCAAGGCCATAGTCGATTCTCCACCGCCTGTCGCGTAACACGTACGAAAGGATGCCGTGTCCGAATAGGCCACGAAGGATTAAAAAAACGTTGAACAGTGTTTCATGTCCAAACCGCTGCTGCAGTAGAAGCTGAGTATCCTCGACGTCCTTATCAGAACAAACGAAATGACGAATGTCTGATAAAACTTCTGCGCCAAGATGAGTCGTATTAAACGAAGGCAAAGAACCTCCCATGATGTCGTCTGCAACGTTTCGATGAGTGCAGAAAGTAAGGAGTCGTCTTCGGTTGGGAATTTGAAGTGAGGAAAACTCCAAGCAGATGTGGAGTGTACTTCGAGCTGGGTACCTGAACGTCGAGCCGCTGCGAAGATATGTTTGGAGACAACTCGTAGCACGTCTTGAGTTACCTGCCAGCGGTATGGCTGTCCTTCCATTGGCACTTGTTTGCCCATAGTATAGATGAGCTGGTAACGGGGATGCAGCAATTCGTCACATTCGTCGAGGATGTCTCGAGAGTGTTCGTGTTGAAGGCGTTGAAAACGCACGGCGTCTAACATGACTCCTTCGTTGCCACCAGAGCCTATCGATAGCATTTTATCCACTGATAGCAGCTTCGCGGAGAGGATATGTTCGGGCTGCGACACGAGGATCCCGCCGACCCGCATACATTCCTCTGTCAACAGGCGGATCTGCTGGAGTTGTGTCTGACTGATCTTCATTTGGCGTGAGAAGGGAAGGTAGAAGATCCGCCGGTTCGGAAGGAAAGACAACCGCTCAGTCATTAGTTGAAACATCTGCTGAGCAAGAGGTTTAAGGACAACCATCCGCACAAGTTTGTTGCCTTTCGAAAGCGAAGCGGCAAGCATTGGTGCTATTACTGATGACTTGCCCTCGCCCATGTTTAGTTGAAGACTGATACTTGATGTTGGTGAGTACATCTCAAGCGCCACCGCGGTTTGGATATCTCTCGCACGGAAGTTGCCTTCGATCTGTATAAACGATAAGCTCCTGAACCTTCGAAGTCCGATAACGAAGAACTTACTTGGATCAGCGCCCAGTCAGGGTGTTCTAATAAAAGCGCGAGATCTAGAGGTTTACAATTCTCTACCTCTTTGTTCAACTCTACAAACTTATCAGCACCCACGAATTCCTTCAATCGCGCAGCTTGCTGGACTTGGAGGAGGGTACACGAGAACACACCCAGGGCTTTGTGCCACCCCTCTGTGATGTCGGCCCATCTAGCCTTCGTCATCTGGAAGAGCCATGCACGTGGGCCCAAGCTTGGCCATAGACCGCCGCAATCCAAAATCACGTCCGACGTAGAGCGAGGGCGAAGGGCGGATGCAAGACCAGCAAGGGAATCCATATATGCGGCATCGCACTCAGAATAGTACGGCACGATATGAGCCTTCAAATCTCGCGTGCTTGCGAGAAGGGTGCTTCCCGACGTAGCCATCCGATGATGCTCTAAACTTGACTCGAC